AAAAAATCCTTTGCAACCATCAAAACCATCAATATTATTTGTGCGCAGAAAAAACTAAAAAAAAATACTCGACTCAAACTACTTTTCCTTGTTGTCCTACTCAACAAATAATTTTCCACTTCATTTACGCCCACAAGCTTAAGGTAAAGCGCAAAGGAAATTTCTGCACATTCATTCACCACATATTCGGAACTATACATATACACTACACACAAACGTTTTTGTCCGTATTAGTTTCAAGTTCACCTCCTCTCTTCGCGCTCTTTCTATTCAAACACAGAACTAATATTTCTCCCTTCACTTTTTTTTACCTCGCCTTTTTCCTCTGACTTTAGGAATTTCTTTCAGTTCCTTTACTTTCTGTTTACTCAGTCAGCACCTTTTTAGGCAAGTCATGCCTGGCACTTCTGCCAAATCACTGGTCACATCTACATAAATATTCTCACAAACCAAAAAATACCGAAAATACCTGTGTGGCCGTTGGCTTTAGGTCTTTTGCGACATAATCCAATAGAAAATGTATGAAAATGTCTTTATTAGTTTTTGTGGTTATAACGATATGTGGTTTGGTGTGGATAAACCCCACAACGGGTAGAAATATGTCTTCAGATTGTAGTATACCATTTACACTTTTTGAAGCAAAGCATAGAACTACTTTTTCACTTTAATTTGATTTAATAAATACTTTTCTCGTAAAATTCGATTGTCAAGAGATTGTAGAAGTTGTATGCTGTCCTTATATCTTTGACATATAATAATATTAATATAAAAGAGAAAGTTAATGCAATACAATAGTAAACGGCAATTTTCACTTCATATCTTAATAAATCTTCACGTACAAAAATAGTCTAGCAAAATTGCCTACCTTTCGGCGCGTAGAAATAATTTCAATAGTTAGGATGTCAATTGAGATGAATGTGGAAATCATTAGAGGTGTTGTAGACATCAGTTAATATATTAAATAAAATAAGGACGCTATAAGTTGCCTGTTATGATTCAGATGAAATGGAAAAGTACAATTTTTCAAATAATTTTTTATACCCTGCACAGTGTATATTAAGTTTGTAACACCCAGAAGATAACGTCGGAGCCTCTATAAAATTTTGATATATTTATAAATGATCAACGTGACGAGATGAGCCGATTTAACCATGTCTTTCTGCATATGTGTACGTGAACTAACCTCTTAATCTTTAAAATATCCGCTATAAAGCTACTCGTTTATCGGAACCGCCGATATCAAACCACTATAGCATATAGCTGTCATACAAACCGAGCGATCAAAATCAAGTTCTTGTATGAAAAACTTTTTTACTAGACAACATATCTTCACGAAATTCGGCATGGATTATTGTCCCCGGCAATCTGCAAACATTCAGATCGTCCACTATAGGTCCGATGATCAATTGGATAATTAAGTTAGGTTTTTAGATACAAACAGAAATTGAGAACGTTTAAGGTTCAATTGAAGATTTCAAAATCACTCGGTTTGAGTTATAGTATATTTAGACTTGGTATTAAATGGTAAATTTCGGTTATTAAAAAAATTAATTTTTTCACTCTACATAACCGTAAAGATTTTTAAACTTTTCTCAGCGCGAAACCCATATGATAGTATAGTACATAGTATAGTAGTATTAAATTCTGAAATTCACTCGTGATGCCACTTTATGCACAACCGTACATGGCCAAGGTTAAAATTGCATACGCCTTTCTCTTATTTAAAATATTTTTTCTACATCCCCTTTGGAAATTGTCGGAGTTGTAAAGCATTTTTACACGCTCGACTAACCTCATAACACCACAAAGGCCATCTTTTGTGTGTGCTTTTGTTTTAAGCCGCAAAAGAATACACATGGGCGTTTATACAACACATACAAGTCATGCTGCCCTGTAGGAAAGTCGACCATTTTTGGAAGCTGAATGAAATTGCAAACTTGACAGATAAGTAAATATTCACCTCCTATAGGTATTGAGTTATACTTCAAAGCAAATATAATAAATGTATATAGAATGACCAGACGCGTCATACCCAAAACCTATAATTGAAAAGAGATTGGTTTATAAAGTGTTAAATTTATAAATTTTATTGCCTAGTTGAGCTCTAATCATTATAGAAATTTTAAAATAAAACGACCAAAAATCTTCAATATTAGCGATCAAAATTAGAATTGGTGAAGTATAGTTTATCTCCTCAAATTTTCTCTATTGGCCTATTGGATATAATTATATATAACCTTTCCACATATCTTTGTGAAGAATAGACGCGTCTGTTATGGTGAAATAATTTGAATGCTAGTGCAATGATGACTGGTATTTTCACCCACGAAATGAAATACCTTTGGTGGTTAGTTTTATAAGAATGCGCAGGATTTCACAAGTGTGTATGTGTCTATATACATATATAATACATTGTATGGCTATATTTTTTAACGTTTAGAAAAATACACTATTTTCACTAGTTTTGAAGCGGAAAATTTCCACCTTCTATATAGAATTATTTACATATTTTTTATTTATGGGTTCGTAAGAATGTTTATGATTTTATTAATTCGTAGAAATGCTTCTGGATTAAGAGATTTATCGATTTGCAAGTCGGCAAAACGCGACCACTGAAAAAGTGTCTGGCGGTAAGGAAGATTTTTTTGTTCTAAAATACAAAAAACCCCAAAAAAATTATTACTATAGATTATTACAGCTGTCAAACTTTTTACCAACCCGGCGAATCAGCAGAAATTGATATTAAAGGCCTCAATAAATGTGGCAAACTCTGGGTGTTTTGTCGATATGCTATACTCTTTTTGACATATACCTAAGAGTTCTGGATATCACAACGGTCAAACACCTCCAGGTGTTCGATTATTCTTGGCACGGAAGTAATAAAAAAGACAAATTTGATGAAAATCTCGAAAGAACGAAAAAGTCGGAAAATAAGTTTAAGAAAGTATAGTGGTAATTTCCGGTTGGTTACAGGTAATGCTCAAAGGACTAGTCAAAATTTTTATTTTGAAAAAAATATATTTAAAAAAATCTTTTTCTTTCGATCATTACTATACAAAAATATTTAAGAAAGTCGTATAAAAATTACAAATTGATGAGCCCAGGATGAAATTTGCCGCACCGATTCTGAAACAGTGTTTCGTGAAAAATGAATCTAAAGTTTTCGAAGCCGATCACACTAAGTTAATTTTTTTTTTTAAATACTCTCTTATATCTCCAAAACTCTTTGACGCGTCAACTTAAAATTTTCGGAGAATACTTTTTAATTAGAACTACTTGACTAATCGACTTACCGAATGAACCGCATAGCGCATTGTTCGAATTATAATATTCCGTTTGCACTATCCGGATAGTCGTAAGTTGTCGACTATTCAATTATTCGATTAACCGCTTATTTTCGACTATTCGGTTAACCGTTCGTTATCAACTATTCGAATCGTAACAAACAAAAAACACAAAGCAAAAATCAAAGGCTGCTTGCATTTAAAACAATTTTCATTTATTCAAATATTTGCAATAGAGCAACTACGCGGTTAATATTTGTACGAACGGTTATAAATCGGATAATCGGTTTAGGGGTTCTTGAATAGTTTTAAGAGCCCTATTTTAAATATTCATATGTCTATTCGGTAAAAAGTAAAAACAAAACGTTTTTTTGAAATTCACAAGTGGATAAACGCCTCCTAATAGGCCTTACCCGGATATAAATATGGGTCTGTTGAGGTTATGTAGATAGGTTAACTAACAGTCGTGAGTAGAAGGAGTTTTGTAATTCTTTCTATGCAGGCTAACAGTACTTTGAAGGCTTTTAGGGTTCTAAGCTCACCGAAAAATGGTACAAAATGAGAACCTTACTAGGTCTAGATATTGCAAAATGTTTCAAATTGTTAGAAAACAAAAATAATAACTTTTTCTAACAGTGTAAACTTTTTTTGATCTTGTAGTGCTTATATAATTAACTATTTTTCAACTGTTATTTACACATTTGAAATAAAAATATGAATTTTATTTCAAATAAATACCAAACTTAATACTGCAAAAACATGACTTCCGCTAAGTTGTTTTTTTACCAACTTTTTAAGTGGCACAGCAGCCACAATATTTCCAAAATATTACCGAAATATTAAATGTCTTATAAATCATATGCCGCACATGCGTACCTATCCTAGAATAATAATGACTTTATATGCAATATCAACTAAAAGCAAATGCACGCAAAGTGCAAGCAAAAAAGGACGATATTTTAACGGTTTCACACCTGCTATGCCATTTTAATATTGCATGCATTTTAAGTGTTGCAATCCATTTTACTCGTGCATACATACATATGTATAAGCGAATGTATGTGTGTGTGGAAAGGAAATATTTTTATCATCACGCCGCCATTATGGTGAACTAAAATGAGTGAACTTTTATGACGCTGGGAAAAACGAAATGCATACATATGCATATGTATGTACAGACATACTAGTAAAAATACAAATGGTACGCAAGTTTATAGCAAAAACTACGAATTTGAAAAAATAACTGGATTACTTTACTTACATACATAAATATGTGCGTATATTTATTTGTGACATAAAAATAATTTCCAACACATTTATTTTCATAATTGCTCCGACGGATATCGAAAAAAAATCATATCGCATAAAAAGTTACTCTTAATATGAATATGCAGCCGAGTCAGGTTACATATGTTTATAGGGATATACATTAATAAATATATGTTTGTTTTTTTCTGCGTTATTATTTTTTCAAACACAAAAACATGCCTATAAGTGAACATAAGTTTATTTAAATTTACACAAATATTTTACTTTTTTAGGTTATATTATACATGACTGATTTACAACTTTTGTAAAATATGGTACAAAACCCTAAAATTACGAATATGTAATAAACTAGCAATAAAAATTGCTCGAATCACTAAAAAAAATGTTGAAGACCAAACTTTACAAACTAAAGAATTCATTATGTTTTTTGTTTTGTCTTCATTGCAGCCACTGAAATTCGCTGCCAGGAGAAATCGCGTGGCGGTCTTAGCTATGAAGTGATCCTGGCCGAACCAGCACCCAATGTGGTAGTGCCCAAGCGTCCAGTGACACCTGGCAAAAATGTGTCAGCCGAGGAGATCGAGCAAAAGCTAAAAGCTGCCGAAGAGCGACGCATTGTAAGTAACCAACAGTAACGATAATTTAACAAATTTCGAAAATTTTCTAAACAATTACTTAACACACACTTCTTCAACAGTCTTTGGAGCAAAAGAAAATGGCCGATTTATCCTACAAATTGTCGAAAATCGAGGAAGCCACACGTAAAAAGGATGAAATCACCAATGAGTTCATCAATCAGACCAAGGAGAAGTTGGAAACTAAAATCGAACAGCATGTTGAGAAGCGCGAAGCCATTATTAGTGACATGAAGGAGAAGTTGAAGGTGAGCGTGGTAAAAAAAAAAAAAAATATTTTTTAATTTTATTAAATGTGCCATTGCCTCTATAGATTCACTCACAAGAAATTGAGAAGACACGCGAACAATTGGAACAGCAGAAATCTATTGAGAAAGTGGCTATTGAGGAAAAATTGAAGACAGCTCAGACTTTGCGAGATGAGAATATTAAAAAGATGCTGGAGCGTCTTAAGGAGCATGTAAGCGCTTTTTATAATTGAAAAATTGCAGCTTTTATTAGTTTGAAACTTTTTCAACCCACAATTACTTTTCGCACTCACAATCACTCATCACCTCCAACAAAAAGAAACCCACTCACCAAAGCATATACAATATAGTTAAAAACAAAACTGGCGAAGTAATATTATACAGATTTTATGTGCATACATACATACATATGTAGATATGTGTTTTAAAAAAGTATGGTCTTGTATAGCAAATGTACAGTTTTGTTTGAATTTTTTTAAATAAATATATATAATATATATTACTATATTTAGCGGAGTTTTAATCAATTACCAATTTAACCAATTGTAGCATTTTTGTATTTTGCTCAATTTTTATAATTAATTTTGAGTTATTTTTGTATAAAATTAAACATACACTTGACATGAATTGCACATTACACCGAATGCAACGCGGCATGCTGCGTCGAACTTATATGCGCGCCCTCTATAAACAATCAAATAATTTTGAAGAAGCAAGCAGCCCCTGCATTTCACCAACATTTTTTTTTTTAATGTATTTTCGTTTGAATTAAGTATGTGTTTTTTTAACAAAAACTTTTTGTTTGTGTTACTAAAATCCAAACGCTCTAATTTGTAATTTGAAAATCCACCCTTTATCGCTCTCTCTCTTTTTCATTCTCACGCTCTCCTGCGTACTTTTCCCGCAAATGCTAACTATTTTCTTATGATTTAAAATAAAAAAAGTTTTTTTATAAAAAAAATTATCTAAAATAAAATAAATTACAAACAAACATTAATATCATGTGTCCATGCATTTCTTTTTTACTGACTGCATTTGTATGTATTCATTATAGAACACTAACAAAAAAAATCAAATCGACCAATTGGAAACACAAAAACTCGAGGAGAAGACCCGCATTATTGAAAATAAATTGTACACCGCCGAACAAAATCGTGAAAAGGAGATACAAAAGAAAATTGAAAAAGTTCAAAAACTTGTAGGTGTCACTACTCTCTCATTAACTGCTATTTAACTCGTGTATACTCGTATCATCAACACTTATTCGCTTACAATTTATTCAAAAATGCTTAGTTTGTTTGCTTATGAATTTTATACTTATTTGTACAATAGTTCCAATTAAGCGTTTTCTGTACGATTTTTTCATTTATTTATTTAATAATTTTTATTAAATATGCATATTGACATTATATATATATTAATTTTAACTGTATATGGCATTTATAGAGTTGTTTTTTACAAACAAATTTTTTTATTATATCTTACTTATTTTATTATATTTTACTTATTTTTTCTTTAATTGTTTTTTAATTTTTTTTTGTTTTAATTCTTTTTTTAATGATTATTATTTTAAATTATTTTTGATTAGTTATCATTTTTAATTATGAATTTTTTTTTATAATAAAATTTTTATTTTTTATTTATTTTTTTTTATAGTTAAATTTTTTATATAATTGTTTTATACTTCTGTTTTATGTTTTTTTTTTGTAATTTTTTTTTTAATTTTTTTTATAATTTTTTTATACTTCTGTTTTATGTGTTTTTTTTTAATTTTTTTTTTATAGTTTTTTTTAAGACATTTAATTTTTATACTTCGTTTGAAAATTTGCTTTTAACGTATGGCTTATAATGTATTCAGCAACGATTTTAAAAGCTCTCATTTATTTTTAGTAATTTAAGTGAACGAAAATTTTAAAATATTTAGTAAACATTATTTAGTATAAATTAGCTAAAGTTCCGAATTCATTAGCGACTACCGTGAATATTTTAAATATATAAATATGTGTTTGTAGATAGCTATATATGTATATAAAAAATATAGAAGACCCTTTCATATATTTATTATTAGTTATTTTCGATTAACGGTTGGAATATACATACATACATACATACTTATATTCATCGTACACGACTACGTAATTTTCATTTTCATTTATTTACATATAGTAGATATTTCGAAAGTTGCTAATTTTTTAAGTTGTGGGATTAATTTAATTAAAACTCGTTTTAGAGAAGTTAATATACATACATACATACATATATGTGTAATGGCTTGATTTATACTTTATTTGATGAGAACAATTTTTTTTTGTTTTGGTATTTGGGATTAGAAATTTTAAAATTATTTTTAATTAATATTTTCAAAAATTATGTTTTTAGTGCAACATTTGCAACAAATCCTATTATTCTAAAATTTTAAAAAATCTCTTACAACGAATTTAAATTTTTATAAGTATGTTAATAAATTTAAAATTGGTATTAATTTTATTTATAACGACAACAATTAAATAATTTGCTTTACAAATATATATGTATGTATGTATGTACGTATATGGTACAAATATCACACAAGCATAAATTTCATTTTTATTTATTTAAAAAAATTTAAGAACCAAACATCTATAATCAATAGTATTTAATCTTATTTTTTTTTTGCTATTTTCTTTATTTTATCATTTTTTTTATTGCATTATTTTAGTTTTATTATTGTATTATTTTATAATTTTTTATATTTTTTATATTATTTTTTTATTATCAATAAAAAAATTTTTTTTGTTTCGTTAATTGTAATAATATTAATATTTTTTTATGATTTTTTTTTTTTTGGTTTATTAAATCTTATTTCCTTCAATATTAATTTTTTATACAATTTTCTAGTTATTTATTTTAATTAATTATATTTCCTTAATTTTTCGTAGTCCATGCGATGCTTTCAAACGTTGAATTTTAAATTAACAAAATATTTACTTTAAACAACAAATATATACCAGAAAAATATCAGTTAATTGTTACATTTTTATAACTTCTTCTTTGCCTCTCTAGGAGCGTCGCGCTGAATTGGTGCGTCAGAATAAGGCGGCAACACAGCAACCGATTTGTGATGACACCAACACAGCTATTGCCTCATCTGGTTAGAGCGCAAACAACAAAAAGAAGAACAACAACAATAATATTTATAAAAAACAAAAAACGGCACACATACATAGAATACAAGAAAAAACAACCAGTTTAAGAGCAAAAGAAAATCGCAATAACAACAATTACACTGAAGATTGATGATAGCGGGGATGGAGGAGGCGTTTTGTGGAGAGAAAAAAACATAATGCAACAGGATGAGCTTTGAGCGCATGGCAGTGAAACGGTAGAAAACTGAGCAGCATTCAAAACTCTGGCGCAGCTTAAGAACACTTATGTAATATTGCAAAAAAACACTAACAACTTAGCATAGAAAATGCGACTACAATTTCGAGACGAAATCAGCCGTTGCACAACTTAAATGATATTTAAAAATATATATAAAAAAAAGAAACGAGTATAACTGCAGCAGTAATAAATGAAAAAAAAAATTAAACATACAAATTATTTAAATGAAGCGTTTTCACAACACTCTTGCGTATAGAAAGAAAAACAATAAAAACTACATACCTATGTAATAATTAAAGATGATATGCCGAAGAAAAACAACTGCAAAAATCCATAATTCAACACTCGTAAAAAGCAAATCCTGCAGAAAAAATAACAACACACTTTATAAATTATAATTATTATTGATAATATGTAAAATGAATGAGCTGCAGCAAAACATACATAGAAACACACTTTACTATTCGAAGCAAAATGAAGCGAAAGCATAAACATTAAACGCATTAAAATATATATTCTCATTATTATTATTATTATTATTAATTAAAATTATATTTTTATTATTATTATTATTACTATTACAATTAATTAAGTGATTTATTGATTGATTAATGAATTTCGATTGATTCACAATTTATAACTATATTTCTTATTACTAATAAAGAAAATGATGCAAAATGAATGATAGAAATGATTTGTAAGCAAACACACAAACACACACAAATAGCGCAAGCGCTCTTTTTCAGATATTCAACAAATACTCTCTCTACTTAAAATAAATATAATCGCAAGAAAAGCAACAACAGCTAATATGAAAAGAAATAAAACCAAAAAAGAAAAAAACCACAAAAAAGAATATAAAAACAAGAAAATTCGAAATTTATTGAAGGAGGAGAAAATACATTAAACGATGTTATAGCCGTTCGAAATGGGGGCGATATAGGGGATTTTTTGTAACTAAATAGATATCGAAGTGGAAAATATAAAACTAAATACATACATATATGTAATTGGGGTTTAAATGATTTTCAACGACTTGCATATTGAATATGGGTTTGCTGCAAAATTCATTTGTCATATTTCTGTCTGTGTGTAATGCCATGTATTATATTTATATATTATTCCGCAGGAAGTATAAGCACATATAGTATTTGTAAAAAACAAAAACAAAAAAAAAACGTAAATTCTCAAATGTTTGTCGAGTAATGCGTTGTATGTATGAACGGTACAGAAAGGTGTGATTAGAAACTTTTGAATTATCATTTTCTAGCTCTTTTCCATAACATAATTTGCATTTTTTTACTAATAATTAATATATATTTGTTTAATGTACACTTTAAGAAAAAAGAAAAGCAAACTTGAAAATCTGAAAACACCTTATTGATTCACAATAGAAAGTTTCGCATTAAAGTAAAAAATTAAAAATAAATATTAAACGCATATAATTTATTTAATATAAATTAGGGTTTCTTTCTATGTGAAATTTTTCAAATAATATACATACATAGATGTAATAACATTTTTTGTTTCGTTTATTTTCGTGCTTTGCACCATTTAAGAAACTTTACGTAATTATATATTGTATGGACTAATAAATATTGAAATTAAATAGCGCTTCATGAAGAAAATATAACTCATTGCTTGGTAGTCAACACTTTGCAAATATTTACATTTTTGAATCACTTTAATTTCTTGTTTACAAAAATTAACAAAATTATTATGCATAAATTTAAGTTTCTATTTTTTTTTTTAATTAATACCTTGCAAACAAAACAAAATATACATTTTGTATGTGTTCTTTTCTAAATAAATAAAAATACAATAAGATCAAATTAACAAAAAAATATTACATTTAAAACCCCAAACCAATATAACCTGCTTGTATTAAAAAAAACATTAAACATTGTGAAAAGCGAAAAAAAATTAATAAAATTATAAAAAAAATACTAAAAATAAATGTGTTTTATTTAAAAACAAAGAAAGAGACCAAATTTCCCACAACTATAAAGATCAGTGTTTAGTGAAAAATATTAGCTATAAAAAACTGAGAAGTGCTTGAATAACATATTCAAAAGTACTAAACTGTGTCAAAGATATTATTAGTTATCATGATTTCCTTGCAAAGTAGTTAGATGTACGATCAGAAAACCAAAGTGTGCTTTTGTTAGCATAAAAATTTCTTGCTTCGGCGTATTTCCAATACATGTACGTATGTACATGTGGAAATTTTGCATTGAATAGTTGCCACAAAATACTTAAAGAGTATTGGAGAATGTTGAAGAGAAGTCTGAACTTGGTGACAAATGCCTCAAAAACAAATATCGACTACGTGGTATACTAATTAAATAATCCGGCTTAATATTTAGTCAAATTTTGACACAAACACATATTTGCCCTAGAAATCGAACAATAGTGACAAAAATTGGACTGTCATGCTATCATTCCCTAACAATTGAGGAATGATTTTTAAACTACATAAGTCTGATAAAACTTTGGACAATTTTGGAAAAAATCGGATCGCGCTATATCTTCACCGTTTTAAATTTAGCAGCTATAAATACAAATAATAGTAACAATAGGAAATCACTTACCAAATACGGATTTTTAAGTTCACATTTCAATTGTCACTGTAGTAACACAATTAATAACTAAACTTACATTTTGTCTTCCGCTTATTCTATTACAAATAACTTCACTTGAGCGAAAAACTAATATTGAGTGAGAACAATGCTGAAAAATAACATTAATAATAATTATAATTTGTACAAAATTTGTACACTAAATTTGTACATATCTTATACAAAATATATAATTTTATGAATGAACACTGGAAAAACCTGCAATGGGAAAACGTTCCGTTACAACGCCAAAAACAACTACTCGTATAGTGGTAGTCAATAAAAATCGGCAAAAAAACTACCTCATGGCTTAACTAAATTAAAAAATAAAATTAAAAGAGCACATAATTTTTAAAAACTTTGCAAAATTAAAAACTCACGAGTTGAAAATTATACCTTAATTTAATTAAAAAACGTATATCAAACTTTGTTAATTCTTCTTCTTATTTCGATTACAACCATTCACAATTAGCAAATTCCAATCAGAATCGAAACCAAAACAAACAAATTTGAGGTTACTGCATGCATTGAGCACACAAAATACGGATGAAGTAAAAGTGCAAACAAAAAGTTGTTGCTTGGTTAAATATAAAATGGACACCGATGAAATTACTCTTCCTGCGGATACACTAAAGATACTCAATGACTTTTTAGAAGAAAAAGCGAAAAGGGAACGTGAGGAGTTGGAGCGGATAGAGAACAAATCGAATGACAATATTATGTTTGAAGAAGATTGGGTTTGTTATTAAAACATCAAGAAGTATGTATTAAAAATTATACTCTAAATTTTACAGCAATTGAGTCAATTTTGGTATAGCGAAACAACCAAGCAAGCGCTAGGTAAATTGGTAAGCACGCTGTTAGCTGAACAAGAGAATTCGGTAAATGAAAACAATTATCGCATAGCTCTGCTGTCCTGCCCATCTCTCTATAGCACTGTCAAGCAAGTCCACAATAATGGTAAGTAAGAATTAAGATATTCTCGGGAGTTATATATGTACATACTAAACATTTTTAGTAAAAATCTTCGAGTTCGACAAACGCTTCTCAGCTTATGGCGACGACTTCGTATTTTATAACTTCAACAGTGCCGACGAAATTGGATATTTGCAAGAATATAGAGAATTGTTCGATCTTGTCATAGCCGATCCACCATTCCTGTCTGAAGAATGCATATCTAAGATGTCAAAAATTATAAGCACTTTACAAAAACCAGTTACAAAAGTAGTTTTTTGTTCCGGTGCCGTGGTAGAACCATGGCTGACCAAGTGCTTACAATTAAAGAAATGTAGCTTTGAGCCAACCCACGAACGTAATTTGGGCAATGAGTTTGTTTCCTATGCGAATTTTAATCTTGACAACTACTTAAATAAATAATTTGTTTAGTATAAATGTTACAATAAAAAATAATAATTTAAGTGTATATAAATGTAATTTATTTTTAAGCTTGTTCACATTAATAAATCTGGGAGATATTATCAGCGTTTATCTATTATGATAAATGAAGAAGCATACGTTTCTAACAAGTTCAATAAATTATACCAACTTAATTTAAAAGCTTTATTACTTTGACGACGCATCCGCTTCTTTACGTTGTTGGACTAATTCACGTAAACCATCCTCTTGATCTTTCAATGATTTCACTAAGAATTCCTTTTTCTTATTGAGTAGTTCAATAGCCTTATCACATTTTTCCTGTTTAGCTTTCAGATCGCCACGCATATTTTCTACATCGGTTAGAACAAACATACGTCCCACGGAAAGGTATACTCTAAAAAAAAATGTAAATCAATTTAGTAAATGACAAAGAATATATGCACAATTTATTAAAGGTTAATGTAATGCGATGATAGTATTGTGCTTCTACATTTAGTGATATGAAACAATATATTCCTGGGGCTCGTTCTATGGAAATAGTTGAGTTTCTCCTACTCACTTTGTGTCATCCTTAAGATCGCTAGTGCCCTTTTCGGTCAGTTCGTACTTTTGTTTCCCATTTTTAACCATACTGCATTTCATATCAATCATATTCATCTTTTTGGTTGTTTCGATTTTATTAATTTGCATTTCGGTAAATGCCTATAATAAAAATAAATTCATTTTGTGAATCACGTTTATAAGCGGCGCATACTAAATGCTCTAAGTGTGTCCCTTAATACGCACCTTTTTCAATTCCATATCCATTTGAGCCATTTTTGATTCGTTGTTTATTTTCACTAATTACTGTAATTATTTTAATTTATTAAACACTGTAACTTTATTAAAATAGTAACACCTGCAAATTTTTATTCCTTTCATATACTTAAATTATCGCAGGAGTTCTTCTTGTCTTTGAGAACATTCACAATAATGATTGAATTCAGAAATGACTTACTGTGAGCAGTCTAAACAGAGAAAGAGATGTTATATCTTCAAAAATGCAGTTACAATATTAATTTGAATTCCGGTGGATTTATTTCTTCCGTATTATTTCTTTTACAATCAATTGTTATTATTAACTTATTTTTCTTTTTGAAGTTTCATTAAATCCGTGAAATTTGATTTACACACATTAAAAAATTTAGTTTAAAAATACTTTAATTATGCAGTATTTGTTCCGTTCGTATTTTTCATTCGCAACTCTTCCATTTTTCTGCCTAAAAGATTCACATTTAATTTATGCATACAAAGGAACTGTCCATTGAAGAAAAGCACCGGAATATCATTACGATATAGTCGTAAAAATCGTACGTTCTCCCTTTGTGTGATGTCTACTTTCTCTATCGTATATTGTCCGTCAAAATATACTTCCAACTCATTTAATAGTTCATCACACAATGCACAGTTATCCCTAGTATACAATGTTAAATGAGGAATCTTATTTGTAACCCCCTCGTCATTATACGAACTAAATGTCAAAAGAAAATACAAATTAATTCATATTTATGTATTCTTTCATTGTTTTACTCACATTTTCTCAATTAATAGAGCGAATGCATTTCCTGTTTCATTTGTTATCGCTGCACAGCCTATTTGACCGGCATTTAATGCATGTGCCAGGTGTGTTACTAAACGAGCGCCCGACATTGCTATAGGATTACCAAAAGACACAGCTCCGCCATGCGCATTAACTTTTTCGGGATTTAACTCTAATTCTTTAGTTACGGTCAGTGGCACCGCTAAAATTGAGTCGTCCAGCTCCCATAGCGAAACATCATTTATCGTATAATTGGTATAATGTAATAACCGCTTAATAGCCAGAGTGGGCGCCGTTAAAACGTCGGATTCGTCCGTTTTTGACTCATTATATGCAATTATTCGAGCTAACGGCTTAATATTCCATTGCAAAGCCCGTTCGTTTGTAGTTAACACCAAGGCTGATGCACCATCACCCATAATTGGAGAAATGCGTTCATTATAGTTTGTCAACTCATCCATAATACTTGGCAGGGGACGCTCTTCATCTTCAGTCACCATGACAGGTATTCTAGAGTTCTTCATTATACGTAATGGCACCAATTCTAAATCAAATAATCCAGCTCTGGATGCTTTACGCATACGCATGTATGATTCCTTTGCATAGTTAATGAAATCTTCTCTTGTAACTCCTGGAGTTTTAGGAAATTTATTCTTAATATGCTCCGGTAAACCATCTGAAACTAAACCATCTTGCATAGTTAAATCTCCATGGTGAAGATAGGTCCTTGGCATATAATAAGGTACATTAGATAAACTCTCCATTCCACCAGCTATGGCGGCATCTGCTAATCTTAATTTAACAGCTTGAGCGGCAAACATAATAGTTTTCATACCCGTTACACTGGAGGCGCTTACTGTTGTGCAACAAACACGTTTTGATAAACCGGCTAAGAGGGTAGCTTGACGTGCTGGCGCCTGCCCAACTCCTGCCGCTAAGACATTGCCAAAATAGACTTGCTGCACCGATTCCGGAGGTACTCCTGCGTGTTTAAGCGCTGCATCTATAGCCACAGCACCTAACTTAGCCACTGGCAAAGCGGTATAGTTACCATTAAAGCCGGTTATGGGCGTACGTACGGCAGAAGCAATTACCACATCGTTTAGATCTTTGCGTCCGTAATCGGTTAGGCATCTTACCGAAGAGATGCGAGTTAAATGCTACAAATTCAATCAAAATTTAATTTAAGTAAATTATTTCCAAAAATGAATTCCTCTAGTTACCACTAATTTTTGACACAATCTGTGCATTTTATCTGCGCACGCTCTTCTTCTTCTCAACCGGTAAAGTTGACTACTTAATTTTTCAATCAGCTGCGTTCTTTTTGTAAAAGATTTTGCGGAAGTCTTAAACAATTTTCATGTTCCAGGAAATAGATTTGAATTTTACAGAAATTATATTTGACAAAGCTACACAAAATTGATTGTTTGCTTTTTGAAACTCCGAAAGTTATTTAAATAATTAAAGTGTTGAGTTTATGTTATTTATAGAAAATTGGAATTTTGAAAAGGTTAACCTCAACCTAAGCATTTTCTATTTTGACAAGTAGCTACTGCGGAACGTATTAAAAGCTCTTAAATATATAATAATGATTGAACGTTAAATAATGTAGTCCGTGTATCCAACGTCAATTTAAAAGGTTTTGTTTTAGTGAGTGATAAAACACAACAAATATTAATGTATTAAAATACAGTAAAATTAACTTTCATATGTTTCTAAAAAAGAGCCGATAAAGAAGATAAAAGAAAAGTAATGTAAACGTGAAAACAGTAAGAGACATTTCGCAGATAAATAATTTAAGAAAGAATATCTAAAAAGGAAAATTATTGCACTTGCTTCATTGTATGAGGTGCAGCTGCATTCGTAACGCCTCAGACAAATCGGAGAAAAATAAAACGTAAAAACATGTAATTAAATTTATGAAATGTGGGTTCTAAGTTGAAACTTCCATTGCGGAATCGACAAAAACCAACCCCGTCACATATATATATGTATATTATACATAAGTACAATGCATACATACAGAAATATATATGTATTTACTATTATTTTTATAAAATTACTAAAGAATGTAATTTCTTTACATCACTATATAATAATTTACATATCAACCCGGTGCACGTATGTACATACATGCATATGCCGCATAATTTCATGACAGACAGTTTCATTTAAATCAACTTGATGAACACAAAATTATTTGTGAAAACAATAAAAAAATATTTTCGAAAATTCGTTAATTGTGTGTGCTTTGAATTCTAAAAATATTTGCTAATTCGGCTTAATTAAAATAAATTTTACTGAAAACGTTTGAAAAACTCTTCGGGAGTAACATTTTGATAATAAATTTAAGCTACGCAAATCGTTACAACGTTTGTGTACAATATTTTTGAAATTTTCAATCTGAATTTTTTCTGCTCCTCACCTCGCAACTCAATCGACCCGATGGCGTATATCAAAGTGAAGCATTCGAATTTACTGCGTCTGGACGATGATGCCATTTTGAGTGTTTGGAATAAACTGGAACCAATTGATCGCGTACAATTAGCTAGCGCCTGTAAGCGTTTTCGTAAAATATTCGAAGAACGCGATGCGGCACATTATACCACCTTCAGAATGGAGAGCCTTTGGCAGGTGTCTGTCAAAGATATTGAAAGCTATGCCAAACTGGTGGGACCGCTAATACAGGAGCTGCGCGCCTACACGCCATGTGTGGGTAATATCAGAGCAAAGAGATTCCTTAAGGGCATGACCGGTAATTGTCAGCTCTTGCGACGTGTGGTCTTCAAAGGTGTACGTGTGGCATTTCAATTGTTCGAGTTATTTGCAAATGCGAAATATCTGACGGAGTTATATTTACAAAATTGTCGACTCATCGATAAGGATGTGGATATGATAACGATGCTGTTTAATTTAATGATACTTGATTTGTCGAAAAATAACGATATTACCGGTGTGCACCCTACTGAAGCATTACTTTATGAAACTTAATAAAAAAATAAACTTCGTCATTCCAGGTCACGGTTTGTGCGCACTCACCAATCTGCGCGCGCTCTACTTGTCGAATTGTAAAAGTTTGAATCCCATCAATTTAGTGCATGTCTTCAAAAGTGCAAGACATCTTTGTATACTCGACATTCAGCAACCTTATACGAATACAAGCCTAGTGCCAGTCTTTCTCGAGCTAGGACGCTATTGTCGAAATTTGGATAAATTGCGTGTAACATTGCCGGAACATCGACGTTATGAATCGCTTGCGCGTCTACCCAAATTAACACAGATTTTCGCATATGGTTATGTGCGTCGTTTTCTCGTGGATTTGCGCAATCATCGCGCCCATCATATGCAGGTGATTTTTCTGGAGACCCTGCAGCAGGTGCCGTTAGACACCACATTTATGCTTACACAATTTCGTGAGTTGAGAAAATTAGCTTGCGATGGTGATTTCGATTTTACGCCAGGCTGTATTGATGGTTTTGAAAATCTTCGCAAACTTACGTGCATTAATCTTTACAAAACGGATGCGTTAACTCCAAAGGATGTGCTGACACTTTTGAAGAAATGCCCGAAATTGAAATTCGTGCAATTATTCTTTAAAGTATTCATTACGGAGGCGTTCATATTCGAGTTGATTGAGGTGCTGGAGAAACGGCCGGTGAAAGTGAATTTCGTAATGAATTTACAGAAGTCAAATATACGTCGAGGTATCACGAAGGTCAGTACTAAGAGGAGATAAAATCAAAAACAAGAAAAACGTTAACTTTGGCCCAAAACTGTCTAAAAAATCTTAACCTCAATTTTGATCGGTCAGTTTGTCAGGCAGCTATATGCTATAGTGGTTCAAATTGTTCGGAGATTGTACCGTTCAGTTTGTATGGCAGCTACATATGTATATGCTATAGTGGTTCGATATTGCCGGTTACGACAAATGAGCAGCTTCTTGTGGAGAAAAGAACGTGTGCAAAACCTCAGATCGCAAAAACTGAGGAACTAGTTCGCGGATATAGGCAGATGGGCATGGCTAAATTGACTCAGCTGGTCATTTATATATACCCTTTATAAGGTCTCCAGCGTTTCTTTCTGGGTGTTACATACATACTTAGTAGTTTTTTGAAAGCGTTTTCAGGGTATAACAAACATAATGATACTTGTTTTCTTGAGATATTTTGAATCTAAAATAACCATATAGAGACTGATAACCCTATGTACAGTAGGGTGGACGAAAAGATAATTTTTTTTTTTTGCTAAGCCTGGAGGTAAAATCTAGATTATCAAAAAAAAATTTTTTTAACACCTTTTTTTGGACAAAAAAAAATAATTTTAGGTTTAAACTCTTCACGTTTATATAAAATATACCGAATTTGATGGTTTTTGACTCAAAATTTATTTTAACGCTTAAAGAAGGCATGTGGTCATTTAAGAATTTTTTTTAAAACCCCAATAATGACCACAAAAAATTTTTTAAGTTGATAAATTTTAATTGGCCGGAAAGAGGACTCTCCACAGCTTCTAGAACACTTATCAAAATCTTTCTACGAAATCAAAATTTCAACTTGAAAATTTACTTTAAAACTGCGGTGTTAATTTCATGCCCAAAAATTTTCTTTTTTTTAAATCTACAGAGAAGCCAAAAAAAAATTTTCTTTTACGCTCCACCATAATTTACAGGTATGCTGTTTACTAAATTAATAATATTTGTGTTGTTTCAGGATCCACGTTACATCAATGCCAGGGACACTTTGAATATTATATTCAGTGCTCAATGCATCGATTGGGATAAATAAGTTTTATAAGTTGGATGATAAAAATTACATTTTTAATGATTTTTGTATTGTGTGGTAATACCTGTTAAGTATATATTGATTGTTTCTAAATGTGTAATGGTATAATGGAATAAATTTATGCGTTATTTATAAATAATATATTAGCAGTTCAAAGCCCAGCTTGAAAGTGAAGACAAATAACACAACAGCATTGAGGGTTTAGTACAATATTTCACGCTCTTTCAGAAAAAATATACTGTTGCTCTCTCCACTATGAAACAACAAAGTAACACATGAGCTTCATAAAAGGTCGCTGTATCCCGAAATGGTCCTGCTTTTTCGAGGAACGAGTATCGACTTTCTGATTTCTAAGTAAGTACCATAACGGAACCATTGCAGCGTATAAGCAATTATCACCGATTTCTTATCGAGTAAAACATAACTGTTAGGTATAATTCATAATACCTTTACAATTATTCGTCAGAAACGAACTAACTCAACTTAAGAGAATAAAGGAAGGCGGATAAGAAAAGCAATAACTTATATTCACTCAAACTCCTTTAGCTAAATTCAGATTTTTTTTAAAGAAAGAACAATTTACTTTTTTTCAATTGGCTATTAGCCTATTATTTTAAATATAAATATTTGTATGAACTTAGAACTTTATAAGTTAAAATTTGCATAAAAATATTTAAAAATAAAATTTTAAAGAACAATACTAAAAAAAATAAATAATATTAAATTAAAATAATACATGATATCACACTAACGGTAAAATAATTAACGCATCGTTGAAAAATATACATTGAACAAAGATACTGGTTTTTCTTCAAATATTTATAACACTTTGAAAAAAAACACTAACAAAAAAAAAATAAATAAAAACAAGAATATGATACAACAATTATTTTCTTTAAATTTTTTTAAACCCCGTTATACATTTATTTCGCAAAGTATTCCATAAGCCAACACTACCCTGAATTTTCCAGACGTTCTTCTTCGGGTACATTGCGATATTCAACAAGTGATTGACCAGCATCACCACGACGCCGTAGCTCCCAGTTCCAAACGCGTGAGAGATGACGGCGTAATTCTTCGAACCGACGCCAACGCCACCAACCCCATTTGAAGCAACCCCACGCAATGAAGGAACAAACACCGAACAAAAAGCATGTCATAACTATCTTGCTAGCATAGCCCTTGGGGTGATCAGTAACAGCACCCATTTTAACGATAGCCGATTGAAACGGACAAATAGTGATCGGCATCCAAGGCGTGAGAAAGCCACCGGCCAGCGAGTAAACACGCACTGCTACCTCATTGAAGGGCGTATCCAATTGTGCGATTAATTGATAATTATTATATTCGTGTTGTGATCGTGTCACGCACTCAATGTGCGTTCGAAAGGTATCTGTATCTGGTTGATGTAGACGAAAATGCACCACATATGAGGTGATAACACCATTCGCATTCTGCGGTTCCGGGAAGTATACATGAAATTCATTTAGACCGCCAACACGACAAGCCATTAACGATTCCAAACTGTCGCCGCTAATGGAAAAGTTTGTACGTGTCCAGCGAAAAGCGTATGCACCACAACCTGCCTCATTGCAGGACTGCACCTGTAGCGTATATAGGCTAAAACGTTTGAGATGGGTAATAATTGTCGCATTACGCGACGTTGCATCCAAATTCAATTTAAGCCATGCTTTAAGTGGCGAAATCGTAACGGGTGGCAACTCGGCCAAGTCGATGTCAGGACGGCAATTTTCCAAGCTATCCAAATTACATTCGAACAGTTTGCGCATGTTATATACGAAACGATGGTCGTCTGCCTCTTCTTCCTTACGCCTACAACATGCATCCTCATCCTCGTCATTGCTGACAATTTCCTTGTCGTGATACATATAACTTGGTTGCGCGCAAAAATCACGTTGATCCAATAACAGTACATTATCGGTCAGGTTATATACCTCTAGTTTATAATAGCTTACCACATCGTCAGCCGAGTGTTCCAGTTGTACTGTGAGTGAAACGTCATTTTTTCGCGTGATATTGATTGTTGGCGGTGCCGGCAGGTCGACTTTCGTGGTAATATACAACAAATCACTTCGTGTATCGTGTATGTCGGCGAGTCCGAAGGTTATTACCAGACATGCATAGCGTGTCCTTGGTTTCAAATTGTTCGCGGTGTAGCTGTAGTGTGTCTCATTGCTTTCTAACTCCTTTGGAAAGGCGAGTATACGAGTCCATTGGATTCTTCTGCAGATATGTGTATCCAGCTCACTGTGCTCTACAAACTCCTCATTCACTCCTATCGGGCGATACATGATTTCCACTTCGCTAGATGTTTGCTCTTTGGGCCAGCTGAATTTCGCTGAGCGATGAGATAATACCTGTGAGGTGTTGAAAAAAAGATAGAGTTTATCAAGTAGTCAAATATGTTAATATGTAGATCTGAGCGGGTTTGTAAGAAGATGAACAAGTCAAACACTATAGATTAAACAAAAATTTGGATTCTAGTTTATATCGAACCAGCTATTGAAGCCTCCATAATCGAAAGGAAGACTACTACAATAATAAGAATTTTGAAAAAGTTCAATTTTCGTGACTAGCAGAGCACGAATCCACAATTTTCAAATTATATTTTTAGAAGCATCAGTAAGTAGTGATCTCGCTCGTTGTATCAGCTTAAAGTATTTCCAAATATTTTTCGGGAATGTTGCTGAGTTAATGACAGACATTGCTCGACTACATTCCGTTTACGTAGGCCCAATCTCCGTATAAACAAAAGATGTTCTTGGAAAGAGACTCATCGAAAAAAACACAATATGTTTAGCATATTCACCTCAATGTGCAAAGACAATTTCGCAGGATCACACAGCACCTCCTGATCGTTTATTTGTAATGCGTCTTTCAGAACATCGTGTCTCACTTTTCGCGCGAATTCACGCAATTTACGATTGCATAACTTCTTATTCATCTGTACATACATGCTGCCATGTATCACATCGAAATTTTTCTCCGGTTGCCATAAATCTCTCAAGTTCTCATTATCATATAAAACAAGTCCATACAAACCGGCTTCCAAAAGTTCCGGATTACCGGCGATCTTCTGTAAGCTTTTAAGGAATTTTAAACTCGTAAGTCCGTCGGAACTTAAAAATAAAACACCAGCAGTTTAAATACAACAATAATATATAGATACAAAGTAACGGCTTACCCGATGATTTTCAAATAGCCACCTATCTCACGTAAATTACCCAAACTGTTAGCTAAATCATCCTCGTTAATCGTATTACGTATGGATATGATTACGCTCGCGTTGAGGGACTTGCAGCCACGCAGTCGATCGGCATCGCCCAAATTAAATATGGTATAGATGTTATCGCGCATTTCCACATCGCATGGTATGCAATTAATTATGTCACGCCCATTGACCTGTGTAAGAAAGCGTGGTTCAAAAATTTTCGTCTTAAATTTTTATAAAATACAAAATACGCTTACATCAAATACCGAACCTTCCGGACACTGTGTCAAGCACTTATTGTCTTTGACAGTCATATTAGTCATATTAAAAAGTGTCAAGCACTCAGCCTTAGTATGACAGGTTTGATCAATTTCCATTAAATATCTGAAATATATTACAATTTATTGTATTGAAAGTAAAAATATTAGATCTACTAAATGCTTTAAGGTAAAGCCGAACATACAATATTTTTGGTCTCTTCCGTTGAAGACCAAGAGTTCGCACACATTTTGGCTTTATCGTTACATCAATGATTGCTCAGTCGGGTTTACAACTTTTAAATTCTCTCAACTATTTTTCTATACTCACTTATCCGGTGGACATTCCTTCACGCAGTTACCGTGATCCTCCCGATTTCTACACGTGTAGCAACCTTCATTTGAACTATTGTAGCAGCCGCCGAGACATTCGCTGTGACAGTGCTGAATACCTCTAAATAAATTGGAAGAAGGCAGTTAGAAAAAGGTAACAGAAAAATAAATAAATAATATTTAGTGTCTTCACTTTTTTATACCACGCGCCACTATGTTTTAAGCCTAAGGCAATAAAAGTATAAAGAGCGGAATATAGAGCTCACATATGTACATATATACATACTTGTATGTATATGAAAAAATTTAACAATCGATTTGTTATTAACTGTTGATTGATTCTGCGCGAAGAAATCAAGAATGTTGATGGTGTTTTTGGTCCTGAGCCACATACATACATACATATAAAAAAAATATATATGAGCAAAACAAATTGGAACCAAAGCTAGTGCTATATTTGGGCAGTCATTTGCAAGTTTGACCTTAAAACTTCATATGATTCTATTTGTACAATTTACAAATGCTAAGGCTGCATGCGCAGTTTGCTTCATCCTATCAGAATTAACCTCATTTGACATTGCCTGACAGTTCAAACTTTTCTAACCTGTTTTCAAAAAAATTGTATGTCAATAAATTATGACAATTACTTGACTTACTTTGCTGCATCAATTAGATTATCATTCTCAAAGCGCTGACAAACATTATTCGACCAACAATGTTCGGTAACACAGTTATGACAAACGGTTTTTATCGGGCAGTCATCTGGTGCCATGGGATAAACATGATTTTCACCCACCGACAATGTGATGCGATCAAAATCAATCTGAAAATTTATAATTAGTTTTCTGATAAAGAAATGAGACCATATAAATATACCATACCTTGTCTAAATTGCAGAGCTTCGGACAGTTGTTTATGTAAATGTGGCCACGCTGTATCGCTATTAATGAAGGGAATTCCAACTGAAATAATATACAATGAGAAACTTTAATTAATTAAAATTTTAAAGGCCGAAAATAATTTTACTCGAAGCATACATTTATACTAAAAATTAACAAAAATCGGACAGAATGTGTTAATTTAAAGTTCTCACAGTTGCTGAGTTGTTGCTCACTATCGATAGCATCAAGATGCCTTATTATCAGACTCGTCTGGGGCCTGGCCTTAGCGGAACTGCTGTTTACTGCAAAGCCGATAAGCTTGCAAGAGAGGGCGCCCTTGTCCCTAACACATTGGATTAGGAATGAGTTGGATCTCCATTGTTTTCATGCATTTTAGCGCTGGACCTCTGAACTTTTTCATGAGCTTAGCAGGCACTGGTAAACAACTAGCGCCTGTGTGACTGCAAGATCCTTCTAGCCTAGTGTGGAACGCAGACTATCCACTGAACCACTTGCGCTCAGTGAAGTTCATCTTGCCGCAGTCAAAGAAGTTCTACGGCTCATTGTCTAATGGGCGAACATGCGGTAATGCTGAAAATTTGGTCAGACACTAACTGTCAAGTTGTATGGAGGCTTTTTCTCCTCCATTCTCCAGCATTAGCAAGACTAGATAAGAGGTTGAAACATTTCAGTAGTCATATCTTCGGTGAACTTTGCGAAATAGCCGGAATTGACATTAGCCGCCTCAACGAATTTGTGGCATGTATATTTAGGTACCACAATGGACCGGTGTTATCAGCTGAATTGAAATTTCGGCTTGAAAACCAAATTGGCTTTAATTAATTTGCATTCCGTTGAGGAGTGGTAATTATTCTACAAAGTACCATTAGCAGTGCTGGAACCGAGTGGAATCTGTTTATAATTTTTTAGGGGCTCTAGGTTTATCTCATTGAATGTAGAGTTTATACTTTTCTTAGAGGACCCTCGGCTTATCTCATTGAAATATAGTTTACATATACCGATAAACTACCGGCGATACTCTAGTGGCCCATACAGATGGTTCTACATAACCAGTTTGGGCCAGATTTTAATCTGAAAAAAAAACTGTGACTAAGTATTATTATTCAAAATAGTGAGAAAATCTTTTTTATTTTATCGCTAAATGATCGATTAAAATCAAGTCTTACTATGGAAAACTTTTTTTATTGGACAAGATATCTTCATAAAATTTAGCACAGATTATTGTCAAAGGTAACGCTAGCATCTATGCACAAATATTTCATATATATGTCTGCATACAAACTAACCGATCCAAATCTTCATTACAGATATTTTCTCCGTATTAAGTAAAATTCGACTCGAAAGTTGTTTATATCAGACGATGTAGCTAGAAAGAACTAGCAAAACGTTTTCCGTTTTAGCGGACTTTCATCTTGCACTATTTGACAATTCCAATATCAGTTATAGAATGAGCAAGTAGAATTTGAGAAGACAATATCTATACTTACCGCTTCCATATCGGGCATATTCGTAATGCCAAGAGCATAGTTCAGAAATAAACGGCGTCCACGTATCACAGCCAAATTGGGAAATAGATTTCGTATGCTGCGCAAGCCGCGCACATCGTGAAATATCAGAAAATCGGTGATTTCACGCAATAGAGGAAAAGTATAATTCTCATGATGACACGGCTGCTTTGTTTCATAATTCTCCGCCGGCACAAGGACAATCAACAGGAAACCACGTATAACGGTGCAGTTATGTAATTGCTCGTAACTCGCACAATCATTACGCACATCAATGCTCCGACACGCGCCCGGTTCGGTGCGCACCGGCTTAGGCGATATACGCGGATTTGTAGCGGCATTGACTGTGGGCAAACCACTTACGGTAAGCAGTAAGCCCATAGTGCAAAGGAACACAATTAATAGGAACTTGTGGTTGGCGCATTTCATCTGTGGAGCACAAATGCTGATTAGCGACTTATTGCTGTTGTTGTGGCAAACATTTTTATATTCGCATTGACAACAATGTCGGCGCGGCTTTGCTGTTGAGGAGGTAAGTTTTGCTGACAATGCTGACATAATTCTCATTCTCCGTACTGTTTTATGCGGCGTCTCAGCTGATTGCGGCGGTTTATGGAAGTTTAAGTTGAGTTGAATTGTTGAAAATATATTTTTTGTAGATTTTTATTCTTTTACAATATAATTTGATTTATAAATTTTTATATTTTATTATTATTTTTTTGTTATTATTAATTTTATGCTATTGTACATTAGCAAACAAAAATTGCTCACTACAACGATTGTTGTTCGGCAAGTCTACGAATTACTCACTTTATTCACAACAGTTTCGGCAAAGATATTAAGGGATAATATTTTTAACAAACTCTTTCACATTTCTCTTACAAAACAAAAATCACAGTTCACCGACATTTTTGATTTTTTATTTATTATAAATTATTTTTTTATATTTTTTTGTTACAAAAATGTTAAAATATTTTTATGTGTTTATCTATTATTTTATTACTATATGTTTTTTATTTTAATTTATAAATGTATATATTTTGTATACTAATAATATTTTATTTTTAATTTTTATTTTTAAACCAAAATTTTTTTTCACTACTTTATTTGTATTGTTGTTTTTTTATATTTCTTTTTATAAGAAATTTTTCTTACGCAACACTATATTGTCCACTTCTTTTTCAGTTTAATACAAAGTTATTTATTTTTCTCAACACAATTTTATTTATTATTTTAGTTTTTTGTTTTAATACGAAATTATTTGTTTCTCAATACTATTTCGTCCACGTGCTACTCACTACAATATCTTCACTTTTATTTTTTTATTTTTTTTTATTTATATTATCACTGTTTACCACCAACTGCAATCAGTTACCTGCTCACTCTATATATTCAGCATTTCGCGCGCTCGTAAGCATGTGCACGTGATCATTCGTTCGCGTGGGCTTCTCTGCTCTGCTGGGCACTGAAGATCCTGCTGCAAGATTCACTTGATTTTACGTTATTCGATTAAACTTTGTTGTTGGTTTTTATTTTTATTTTTTACATATGCGCTCGTTTTTGTTGTTATTTGTTTTTCTCACTTAGACAGTTACCTCGGTGTATTGTATATTTGTATGTACATATGTATGTAATGCACTTGACTTGTTCTCCCTCCTTATTATTGTCTTATATTGACTGCTGTCGCCGTTTGTCGTTTGTCGTGAAAATTCGCAGTTAAGGTGCCAACTTACGTTTAATTAACATTACAATTTATGACGCCACATCGATCTCGATAGTATACGAATTTATGTTCGTCGCGCACATTTTTAAGGACGTCCATACAAAAAGAGCCAATACACATAAGTGTTGTTGTTTGTGTTGAGCGTAAAGAAAATTTTTGTTTCGAATAATTGGTTGCGTTTAGTAAAGTAACAGGGGCGACAAGAAAAATACTTTAATGTAGACTGAACAAAATACAAATAAGAGAATACATGAGAAAAAATATAAATTAGCATCTGATCAAATTAGACCCGAATTGAACTGGAAAATTTAGTTTAATACAATGTTTTATTATCGCCTTCAAAATAAGCTTCTGAGCCAATACAAGCATGCCAATGTGCATTCCAATTTTCCATACACTTGTTATAAGCCTCAGCTGGGATGGCCTACGGTGCCTTCAATATTTCAATGGTTAAAATGGAGTCAGGGAGCGTTCCCCAAAGCGAATTTTTCAATTTTGAAAACAAAGAAATGTCACAGAAAGTCAAATCTAACGAATACGGTGACTAAGCGATGACTCTTTCGGTTTGGCCGAAAAATCAGTCACAATATAGACGACGCACAAATTCAGCCGTTTACCACGAATTGCATCATGTATGAGTAAATGCCTCAAAACGGCCAAATAGTATTTTATATTGACCGTTTGACCCTGTGGAACGAATTCACCACGGTAATCAAAGAAAACAATGAGCGTCTCCTTGATTTTTGATAGACTATGACGTGGTTTTCACGGTGTCGGCATATTTTTGAGCGTCATTCGCTAGATTGTTGAACAGTTTCGACGTCATATTCATAAGCCTGCGCCACGTCACAAATAACGATGTGTGTGATGTATGTAGGTTTCTCACTCCGTTGTCAAGCCTCTGTTTTGTGACCTCTACTCGACGTTATTTTTGCAAAATTCAGACCGTTCATACCCAAAACATTAACCATAAAATGTATTGAGTCAATCCATAAGAGATGTTGAGATTCTCTGCTCTCTGTCTGATGCCAACACGAAGATTTGCAAGCACTGTTTCTTTGACTTTTTCGATATTATTGTCATTAACAGAGGTGGATCGATGCATGCGTCAAGTTTTCGATGACTTCAGGACCTTCACTGAATACTTTGTGGCACTCAAATACTTGTGTTCATGATAAAGTAGACTCCCCAAAACACTTCTGCAACACTTTCAAGGACTATGTAGCCGTAATTCCACTAAAAACACAAAATTTCAGACAAAACACCTTTTTTTCAAACCAAAAATCGACAGACACATTTTTCGCGACTTAAACAAATAGCTACCAAACACATTATATTTGAAGTCTGGAGATTAAACTTCACACGAACATAAAAAAGTGTTCCAGTCTAGGATTTTTTTTTATCGATTCAGTTTACGCGTGCCGTTTAAATAGAGCAGTCTGAGTCAAATTTGATCACATGGTATTTATTGAATTTAATTAAAATCATTAAAATTCCAATATTTTTTGCGAGCACACATATTTTTCAGCTATTAAGTTATAAAAGTGTAAGAAATATTTGGCAGCACTTCTAATAAAATTCGATTGAAATTATTGCTAACTTAAATTTTTTTAACTAAATGATTTTTTTAAGCACTATAAAATTTTAATTAATAATAATAAATATTATATTTAAAAAACTGTGGTAAAACATCTTTACTCATATTCACATGTGTTTACCACTTGTCTTTTAAGTCACAAAGACGTGTTTTTCATTGCATAAAAGTTATTTTAATAATCAAATTATATCCACAATTATTTGAAACAACAGCGGTGCTTCACAAAATATTACTTTTGATCTTTAAACAAAAGACAAACAAATTAAAAAAATTAAAACAATATCAATTAAAAAATAGACGTTTAAGCATACAACGTGGGTGAGTGTTAAAGGTTAAATGCGCCAATTGTTGTGTTCCCATAGCGCTCGCAGCTAAGCGTAAAATTATGTTTACTATAGAACAACAACAATACGTTGAAACAGCGATAAATATAATTTCTTTTGATGGTTTAGCAGCACAGTTAATCGGGTTAAGTTAGGCTTCACTAAAAAACAGGCGTTCTTGTTCACAACAAATCTGTAGGTATTAAGGAATATTTTGAAAAAAAAAAATGTCACTTCATTATCCGAAAACTGATAATATCAGCAAAGGCATATACTGAGATTTCCGTAGAAATTATTAAACCAATATTCTCTCAAATTCTCTCATAAGTATATCTAAGAAACGCTCGGACAACATGTAGGCTTAATAAAAAAATATTAAATAAAGATATTTAAGAAGATATGACCTGAAAACCCAAAAATCTTACACTTACAATTTTTTAATGTCATTATGAGATATGTGTAAACTAGTCAGAAAATATACCCTTTCTGAAAGCCAACTATGACTAATGATTTTTATTCATAATCTAACTAAACAATTTTTTGTTTTCTCCAACTGGTATGTTTTGGACCGAAATATGACAGCTTTCATCTCGTCGAACATCGACATGTAAAAAATTCTTAATTCTAACCAGCAATCGTTCATAGTTTAATTATTCTTATCCAAGCGTTTGTCTAGACTTTTATTATTAAGTTTCGAAAATTCAATTTTGAAAGAATTCGCTTATCGCTAAAGCAAGTTTCAATTGAATCACATTTTGACGAGATCCTTTAATCTTGAAAATATAGAGGTAAAAACTTGAAAGGTTTAAAAACCAAATTAAACGACATTTAATACTGTTTCTTTACGTTTCGTAGTATTTATTTTAAATTACGGTAGAAAATAGAACACTTTTTTAAAGATTAGATGCTTTTTAAACTTATTTTAAGTAAACATATATGTATATAAAAATTACGTGTCACGTTTTGTCCGGGGTAAACTTCTAAACTATTGAACCGATTTTAGTAAAATTTTGCACACTGTGGCCAGTTTGAGCCAACTTAAAAGATAGCACAGTTTATATCTCAATTATGTAAAAGTCAAAACAATTCGTATATAAAAAAAATATTTATGAAAATTAGAATATGTTCAAAATTCAAAAAAAAAAACAAAAAATTATAATTATTATAACAATAATGGCAAAAAATTTTCATCTTTATAAAATATTAGTTTCACTGTATTGAATAGTTTATTACGATATATTTTTTAAAATAATATTGATCATAATAGAAATAAGTTACGATATTTCATATATAAATATAAATGCATGTTATAAATTACATTTTTTCGATGGATTGATCAGCAATAATGCTACTGTGCTACAACGACATTGTTTTTACATTAAAACACTTTCACAGAACCAAATTTTTCAATTGATTATTCATAAAAACACCACTTTTAACAGCCATCACAAATTTTCAATCCATAATTTAAAATCTTACAATATTATTGATCTTGCCATTTTTATTATTTTTCTTTTTTAACCACACTTCTTTAAAATGTAACTCTTATATTAATTAATCATTTAATCGAACACATATGACAGATTTCACCTTATATTCATAATTTTATTTCCTTTCCGGTTCCTGCATTATTATTTTTTTTTTATAAGCACACTTTGTCGTTTCCAAAAAAAATATTTGATCTTCTATCGAGCACGTACAAAAGGCGACTGTGCCAGATTGTCTGGCGCTGACGTATGAGAAGCCGCACACGATAGACAACTCGACCGAGCCATAACCGAGACCATATTAACGACCGCCGCAAAGAAGGCATATCTTCCGCCAGCAGACGGCGGACAGCGTGTAGCAAGTGCAAAAGTGTGAAACGGCATCCTCAGCGCCAGAAGCACTTACACACATATTCTCCTAGGGTTGTATCATTAAGCCAATGAGCAATGTGTCAGAAAAGTATATGAGAGTACTTTTAAAGTGCAAGTAAACTATATACACTCATTAGGTTCCATAAATGTATATACAAAGTTATATGTGGACCTACAGGGATTTCTGGAAGAAGTGCCACAAAGTAGTGTATTTCATAACTTTATCTTTTTTAAAGTTTATTCTAATGACATTCAAAGGTGATATTTTCTATTTATTCTCACCGGCCGCTCTCTTTACCCTATGGGAGGCCCATACTTGATAAAATGCGGTTGAGGAACCGAGATTGTCCGCTATTATTATACTGATTCAGGATATTGCTCTACCAAAGTTATTAGACTTTCAATATTACCTTGAATATATAATATATCGATCTTTCACTACAACTAATTTCAGGACTCAAAATACTTAAATAAATGTTGACGGTATAAGAATTTCTACAACTCTTCAGGATTGGATCATTATCAAAGCTAAAAGAATCCAAAACATCAAGTGTTGCTTAATTTTTTCTCTGCTCAGAACACAGCCAATAGTTAGTAAGTATACCGTAATCAATATTAAATGGATGGGATCGAGAGAAGTAGAGAGTAAAGTTAGAAATTATTCCTTTTTGTTCGAAAATACCTAACAACGGGTGATGTCCCTGATTATTGCCTACGATGCGATCGAGATATCTATAGAGTATCTATACTACAAGTACCTGGTTAACAATAGCTCTTAAAAATAAAATCAATCAAAAGCTTTCTTCCAATGCAGTCAAAGAATTTTCCTATCGGGTACGCCATTATATTATTTGACTTTTTTCTCAGTTTGAAGCAGGACAGTTACTACAAATTTATGTATTTATATATACCTATTGGTTTGTCTTCGCACGCACCGCCACTTAAATTTGTATAACTACAATTGTCGTTTGTAATGTCGATCACTTGATGATCGATATCGAATTGCTACGAGTCCATTGCTTATGGTGTGTCATGGCATCATTGGTTTAACGCCGTTTTGAAAAGAAAATATGTACCACTGTATTTATGTACCATATAGTACTAGTAGTGACTGAACGTTAGGGTCATCGATTGGGTTGAGTTCTACCACGCCTTCTTTTTTATTTAATTAATTGATGTTTCCATCATCTCTCTAACAATTGCGCTGAGTGCGCATAGCTTTATATTTATTTCCAAAACAGTACACAAGTAGATTGTTTGATTTCCGTAGGAATTCGATTAAGCAGTCATTTACGAGTATAACAATGTAGCAATGATATTTCAATTATGTTTTATTGGTATTTCGGACATTAAAAGTTTTGTGACAACACCCTTTCGCAATGAGCTGTTAGATGTGAAGAAAAAATCGATTTTATTAATAATTATAATAATTAGTTGAAGAAATGAGGGTCGAAAAGTTACAGCTTTTGTGGAGTCTAGACTAGACTTTACTTCAAACTTTTCCGTCTGGAAGACAAAACCTCAAACGAATTATAACGATATCATCATCAAGCTCATACAACTCACCACTCTATCGCTTGCTGTAGAGAATATCCCTCAGTTTGGACCCTTCTAGTAATCTTTTAAATAATATGAGATCCCAAGGCTTGCATGCAGCCAAAAGCTTCACAATAGGTCACTGATGATCAAATAATTATCGCAGTTTATTTCTGTGTTGTACCTGCATTTTCTAATTACTTTTTTATGCATCCTTGACCACTGTCCTCTCCTTTCACAATGCAATATTTTTCCCAATGTACACCACACTACTTAGCCATAAAAAGCTTATGCATATTATACCGGCATACATACATATAAACTCGTATATATGTATGACTGTTTGTAAAGCAATTTGATGACTAAACGCTTTAGAAACACAATAACCTGCTTAGCAACACAGCTGATCTGCACGTTGTTTTGAGTCCTCCGATCATATGTTGGTAGTCATCTGCAGCCACAACCAAACAGCTGCTGCCAAAAACGATTACTATAAAAAAAAATATTTGTTTTAGCCTTCCATTACAATGGTAATAAATACAAACAAAGAACTAACTCTGACACATTTGATGTACATAAATGTATTTGCTTTAGTATGGATATACATAAATCTTTTGAGAAAAAGACCGATAAGAATTAGCACATATGGAGTATTTGGGGAACGAACTTGCGTTTTACTTTCATCTCATCTTCTGTTGCTACTTTTAGTGCCAACCCAGTAAAAACAATACTAAAACTTTGACGATTACATTTTGTTAGTTATTTGACGCCATTTCTTATAGTTTTATTTATAGTGGTGGTCGCAAAGATTTCCACCATCTTCGAATGGCTGATGGTAAGAGGGGGATGATTTTCGTGTTGCTACTAAGAAAATTTTTTAAGATATTTTTTTCAGTATACGTACCCAGAAGTTGACGGTTACCTAGTCAATATACTCCCTCATAGTCAGTCTGCTCTGATAATTTCGCGCTCTTATTAAGAGATTGATGTTGAATAACCCAATATACTATAATTAAAGGGGTTATATCCACTTCTGAATTTCGAAAACCGTACCTTTTTTGCTTACACATATATTTGAAAATAGTCTCAGAAAATTTTAAGTTGATCCGGTAAATTGTTTTGGTGAAATGAGCGTATTTGTAAAAACATTTAAAATTAGTATAATCGGCTCTCAACACTTTAAACGCGTTTTTCTCGAAACGCTGTTTTCAGTGCCGATGAGGAAAATATTTCCGAAACGGCTGACCGCGTGACTTGAAATTTCCGCATGACCTTCTTAGGAGAAGATTTTTGATAAAATTCGAATTTATGCGCTACTCTGAATGTACCTTTTTTCACAGAAAACGAATTTTTTTTGAAATTTCAGCATTTTATCAAATTTAAATTTTGACTAGTCTTCGATCATTACTTGTATTCATCTATTGTAATATTTTTTTTTATGTTTTATTTGGATTTGATGCTTTGGAGTAGAAAAATCTTAATCGCCGCCTAGACGGCTTGTTTCGGAGGCCCTTCTGGAGATCGGCTACAGGAGCAAGGGAATCCAAAATTTTTCAAACTAAATCACCGATTATTAAAGTGTATTAAATTCTGTAAGTGTAAAATATTTTTATTTATATAGTATAATTAAAGTACCCAGCAGTGTAGTAAAACACTGAAATTTAAGGACTGAACTAAAACTGCAGAATCGATAGCACCAAATATCTCTTAAGAAGACTGTATTTTACAATAAGTAGATCAAGAATGCATCAGAAAAAGGTCAGGACAGTATGGCAGTGATGAGCATAGATTTGTTAGCCGATTGACCACTTGTCGGTAATGACGCGAATGTTACATTTGATGAGCTACGGTTCTATGGTAGAGCGAGTAATTGGTGAACGTCGGTGGTGATTTTTGGGAGATACGCTGTGTAGATCATGTAGGCAACTCAGGTCCGACTCAGCATCGTGGCAACTGACCCATTATACAAGACTTTTCAGCTAGGTAAGCGCTTGTCTATCCTCTCCTTCCGATTCAATTGATCTCAGACTTTGAAAGTTACTCTTTTAAACCTTCATTCATGTAAAATTGTTATCACCCCAATATCATTGTATGTGTCAACAAATTTAGTTGTTGTATAAAAAAAAATCAAAAAATATTCAAAATCTCTTCCACACACATATTTATGAATGAATAATACCACCTTAATTCTTTACAGGCATTTCTATATAAATAAATATGATATTTTTAACGTTTTTCTATGTAAATAGGCGCTCTAACTCATACGTATACAAACATCTGTAGGCACACCGGGCATATGACCAACAACCGAGAAACGCTTGACCAGCGTCGAGTTCAAAGATCAATTATGACAATTAAAGTATTTTTATCGTTGGAAATATGTTCAATGCGAGACGATCTTCTTTTTGGACAAAATGTTTATTTATGTGTGAACAAAAAAGTGGAAAAAAACTATGATGCAATGTTACAAAAACTGATCAAAAAATGAAACAATAATTGTCTATAATTAAATAAAAACAAATTAAAAAATTCTCCACAAACAATTTATTGGTATACTACATTTTAATGAATAAATAATGCATATTTAATATCGATACGAACTTAATTGATAAAATAAATAAAAATCTGAAATTTTAAACACATAATCACATTAAGAATCGCCACAATTGCAATTCAAAACCCTTTAATATATTTTTTACAAATATACAAAAAAATTTCAACATTTATTCGGGCGGCGTATTGTCGTGTATCCATTCGGCAAAGTGAGCAACAGACGTGTAAACACTCGGTATGCGCAAGCCACCACAATTATCCGAGCCGAAAGACATTATGCCGATCTATTAAAAATTGATAGATATACACCACAAATACATTTACATAAGTATATTCATACAATAATAGCCACCCACCTGTGAGTATATGCCGTTTTCCTGTATAAATAGTGGCGCTCCGCCAAAGCCCTGACACACATCCTTTCCCTCACCGCCCGCACACATCCACTGTCCTTCAATTGAATTGGGCGATTCCAGTGCGCCGGTCGAACCGTAATTACGCAAGCACAGGTCCCAACTAGTCAGCGGCACATCCAAATGCGCCATTTCCGGTTGACGCGTGCTGGAGGTAGACATTTTGCCCCAACCGGCGATTGTAGCGCGTTTACCCACCACCAAATTGGCGCGTGACTTTTGCAGACAAATCGGTTGAGTTGCGACTAGATTGGAATGTGAAAAGGTTGAGATAATAATCAATAAAATCTTGCACTGCGAGCTACATTTACAAGAAATCCAATCAGCCTAGTAGTTATGATTTCGACTTTGAGAGAGCGAAAGACAGAGAAAGCGACACTTTAACCAAGAGTTTTTTGTGTATATTCTTTGGATGACAAAAGTTTTCGAGTCTATACAACTGGAAGAGACAAGCTTTACATCTAAACGAACGGGAACTGTTGCTGTAACCGAACTATCTACTTTACTACTACTAAAAATCTGCATATTAGGTCCATTACCAAAAAGTAATAACAAACCTACCGTAACGAATTTAAAAAAATATAAATATGTACATACGTCTGTGGGCAGAAGGTTTAAAAATTGCACTACAAAACATTCGATCAATAAATATCAACTCATTGGCGGAACATAATCGCCGTTGATTGCCGGTTTTGTTGATCAAAACAAAATTCAGAATAATCGTTATGTATAATAAATTAATTAATGTAACCGTTGATCCTTTGTTGATCAGAAACGAATCTGCAAGAAAGCAATCTGCTAAGTAAGCAATAGCCACAAAAAAAAACCAAGTTGATAACCGCAAATATTGGGAAATAACACAAAATTTCATTCATTACTAATATTGCAGTTCGAACACGTTCTTATATTGACACTATCGCTATCGGAATATAAAAATATATCGATGCATTAAGGTGGAGCAATTTGTAGTATTTTTTAAAGAACATTCACTTCCATATCCATGATCCTAGTTGTGGAGTGCACTTTGGCATTGAACGATGATTAAAGGGCGCTAAAGACGAATTCAGTAAAATGAAAAACTTAATTTTCATATGCTATAAAATCGAAGATATACTTGGGTTCGTCTTCGCAGCATTTACACTTTATAAACCAAGGTTTCTAACTGTGCAAATTGCGTTAGGTTTTACCTGTTACATTCGTAAGGTTCTGAGGCAGAATTTCATAGTTTTGGGTTTTACACTAGGCTGTAGAGAAGTTATTATTATTATACACATGTCTTTTCACCTTTCAGAAGGTAATTTAAAATAATTTCATTTGTTTCGGATAATAAAAATCATACCATGTAATTGAAGGGCATAAATCGTTTCGGTGTCGAAATTATTTCATCATTCAATCGATCTTACTAATCTAATGGTATATTTCCGTATAAAAACGGTTAATCTAAGATATGCTTTAACCAGGAAAAACTCTTTTTAAAAGTACTACTTCCAAAAATAACATTTTTATTTTTGAAAAAATTAAAAATTCGACACCACAATCAGAAATATTCCTACTTCCACATTTTATATCCTTTAATATCCCTCATGTTTAATAGATACACATTTTTTTATTTGAAATCCACCTTGTTTTTTTCCCCAAAAAAAGCTGCAAACTTAGCACGCACTCCATTCTTGAAAGCATGCCAAACGTGGACAAAGACTCAACAAGATCGGGGCGCAACTCTATCATTATGAGCATTTTTCAATTTCAATGTTATAATGAGTTTTATGGCTTAATAACGTGAGATACGAACGTGCCCCTTATAAACTTGGCAACTTTGTGTGCTGTTCACACATGTGAGGTCCGGTGTGGTGCTGCCGAAAAGTACGTATACAAAAACAATAACACGAAAAATGCCCAAAGCATTCAAGTCGCACACTCGTATCATCCAATTAAATCAGGTTGTAAATCACACTTAGCGGCTGCCGGACCACTAATTTGACATTTTTCATGCTTACACGCTGCTCGCCATGATGATGCCACACAAGCCTGCACTTTGCCACGTCGCGCAAGAAACTGGCTGAAAGGACGCATGTGGTTAAGAGCAACGCGTAGCAATAGGAAGTGTGTGGAGCACGCAGCAGCGAACGCCCTTATGCCTTTGGCGATTAATGCGCTTTGTTTGGCATATTATTTTTAATGTGCCAGGTAATTCAGAATAGTATGACACGTTAACGTAATGGTTTGTGACAGCTGCTGTCATAATTAGCGGGACAACCGACAATATTCAGTCAAGATGCGATAGCATAGGTTCAGTAAGAATTTCGTAAATGATCGTAATTTAATGAAAACCAGTGTTTTAAAAGGTGTTGAGGTGATTTGCAGGGGCATCATTTAAATTTTAAGCGTTTTTGAAATTTTGATTAATTGATCGATAATTGTGTCGGTAAGCGGTAAGTAATAATTAAATGTACGCAAGATCACCTAATTGGCAAAGTAATGTTGCTGTGTTAAATTTATGATATATACTAGTTCATGTAGAGCTCTCTAGATAGTACTAAAGGCAACCTAATAACTTACCTCAGTAATGTCTCTTTGAATTTTTTATAAAATACCATCTGATCAAATACGGACTACCATAAGAGATTTTGAGATCCTCTGCTATCTCTGGTGCCAACACGACGAATTTCAAGCACTGTTTCTTTAAGATGTATCGTCATTAATAGAGGTGGATAGACGAATCGTATGAAGCAAGTTTTCGATGATTTTAGGACCTGCACTAAATACTTTGTGCCGATTCCGTAGCCGGAATTCCATTGGAATTTCAAGCAAACTCGTTGTTCAATTTCTTATCATGGTAAAAAACGCCCGACAAACTTTTCGCGTCGTAAACAAACCGCTGCCAAATACACATTAATTGGCATATGGTAACCAATCTAATAAAAAAAATGTTATCGATTTGAAATTCGATTTGAGCGTGCAATTTAAAAGTACCAGTCCGAGTCAAAATTGATCAGATGGTATATTGTACATCCCAGAAAAAGCCTGTGTCCATCTTTAATACCGGAACTGTAATTTAGGTTTGTGCTAATGCTAGAGACCTCTATCTGACAATGGCTAAACCTCACTTAATAGAGAAACGAAATTTCGTTAGCTATTTAGAGTTAAACTTCGACCACAGGATACGTTAATTTTTCCAGTTTTGATTGTTTTGTCGAACGATTTTTTAGTGTTAAAGTTTGCCTAAGTACTAAGCCACTGATTTAACTAGTTCGCCTTTGCTGAAATCATATTACGAAGCTTATGATCCGAGGTTACGACAACTAACTCTAGAAAACCCTTAACCCACACATAAGAGGTGGTGAAAACTACTTATATAAGTTTTAAAGAGAGAACGTGGTCTTTCATGGAGAATTAGAATTAATTATACCGAACGCAACTGATTCCAATTTAATGGAGAACGTATTAACAATGTGGTGTTTTGGTGCGAGAAATATAATCCATCGAATATTTCCACCTCCCATCTCCGAAATCAAACCATTCAGGATCCAAAATAACTGGAAATATAGGTGTACTTTTAAAAAGTAGATGCTGTGGTTAGAATTAGTTATAAATATTACAAAAAATAATGGCTGCAGAAAACCTATACTGTGCCGTAATGGATTAGTTGGACATTGGTTAGTATTGAAACTGATTTATTATAGGGAGACTAAATCATTATAAACAAACACATTTCAATTTTAGTCATTGACAAAAGCCTTTGATGACATGCAAACAATATTTAACTGTTTTGAACTTGATTCGCGCGATAATTGAAGAAATGGAACGCAAAAAAATTAATAATATATTTTATATTTTTTTCAAGTACCTGCTGGACAAGCTTAATTAATCGTAAACACCGACAAAAACTCCCATTTAATGAGTCTGACAAATATGTACATATGTGTAAATATACGTAAGTATGTACTTAAAAACTTAATAAAAAACAAAACGCATACGCACACATTCCCTTTCATTTTTCGTTTATGCTTTATGAACTCTCACCTGAATAGTTGAGTGGCGTTTTCAGCACCAACAAAGCGATATCATGATGATACTGGCCCTGTTTATAGTCTGGATGCACGATCACATGGCTAATCGCGTGATTGACCGAGCGAGGCGCACAAAATCCAGTGGTCGCGCAATCCGGATCGTTGGATGTGTCATATTCGCCAACACGCACCGAAGAGCTAAAGAAAAATCCACGGATGAAATTAGAAAAAATAAAAATAAATAAAATGATATAGGTACGCCTCATAAGGTCACTTACAGACGATGTCCTTCCGCCTTGGCTAAAGCGCAATGAGCTGCTGTTAAAATGACGCGCCTGGCGATGACTGAACCCGCACAAGGATATGCAAAAGCGCCCGTATTGATATCTGAAAAACAACAACTTTTCAACTTTTCTCTATTTAGTTTTGTCACACTCACGCTTGAAACCAACACGCGCCACGAACGGATGCGTACCGAGCCCGCGATAAAAGTGTCCTTGCACCAGTGACTTGCCGCACACTTGATTCTTCTCAAGCGGACTACTCGGACAACAGACGTAAGGCATTTCTTCACCGCCGCCGCAAAATAACGATTTATCACCGTAATAACAGCGCTTGGCCACTTCGTAGATCATCGCTGTGCAATCGTGTAGCGGCGTACACTCTGTG